AGTCCAGCAACTTAATTGAATCGCAAAAATCTACCTTTAAGGGTGGAAAATATTTGCATAAAATCACAATTAAAGCGGTTGCTGGCAACGATTCGATGGCTTTAATTGAGATACAGTGTGTGTGTGTGTGGGGAGGGGGAGGGGGGAGGGCACGACTGCATACATTACTCGTATCTCTGTCTGTGTCTGGCACCTCTTTTTCCTCCTCCACCTCGAAAGTGGAGGCGTCGAAGCGTCGATGCAAATTTATGACTCACAGAGGTGGATTTTTCTCTGTGTGGCTGCTGTTGCACGAACGAGTATCTAGTCGCCGCAACAATTGCCAGTAATTGTCGCTTACATGTTAAAGAGCCACCGACTAGGAGGCCAAAAAGTTTCGAATGGAGAGAGGTAGAGGCATCTCGCATCTAAGGCACTTCTTTCGTCTCTCCTTCTCTCTCTCTCTCTCTCTTTCGGTCTCTTTTTATCTTCTTCTTTTTCTGTCTGCACCACATTCTGCCTTTGAGGCATGCCACAAGTCTGTTTGTCTGCCGCCTGCCATTGCCACTCGTCTGCGTCTCGTTTTCGTTCCATTCCATCCGGTATGTGAGTGTGATGGAACGTGCCACAAGCTGCTGCTGCCACGAGCCTCAGGAACATTTTCTTTTCTCATTTGCGGCACTCGTCCTTCCGCTCTCCCGCTTTCTCTTCTCCTTTTTCCCCAAAATTTATTTGTATACCTGGAAAAATCTACAGGGTAGCATGCAACACAGGAGCGCATAGAAAATGAGGGCAAGTTGGCGGATTTTGGGGGAACAGTAAAAGGAAGCCACTTCAAGAGCCAATTAATAGGAAAACGTTGAGAATTATCGCAGTATCAACAGGAAATTCCATTGCTGGGTAGCACCCATGTCTGTAGATTGTACTCGAAACGGGAAACACCTCTCATTTGTTTCCTTCCTTCTTGTTTCTGTCTTTTTTCCGCCTGCTGTCTGCGGCTTATTGTGTGAATTACTGCTGGGCCAACATTCGACTGTCCTCCCTCCCATCCCTGCCTCCAAAGGAATGAGAAGCGCACTCGGAAGGTACGCGGCGTTTCCTGAGGAGAGGCGGAGGCCATAAGAAGTTGAGTTGTGGCACCTTCTGAAGGAGAGTGGAGGCAGGCTTCTCGAGGAAGATGTTTCGAGGGCCTGGAGCAAGGTCTAAGCTCCTCGGATTACACCTATCAGTCGTCTTGTCGTCTCTCCCTTCCTTCCCGGCTGCCTCTCCTGTCTCTCACATGATTTCAGAGTAGAGAAGGCGATGGAGAGGCGGAGGCGGAGGCAGTCTTCGCCTTTGTGGCACGGGGGAAAGGTCAATCCAATGGCTATGCCCCGGACCTATTCCTCTTTCCTTGGACTGTCAAATTTAAAGATAATTAGGCATTAAATTGTTGCAATTTAGAAACAAATTAAAGTGGACGGCAAGGCACACATTTAAGTGGAATTCCAGGAGGGAAAGCTCCCAGAATGCCTTTTCTGTCTGAGATTAATTAAAGTGGCGAAAATGTATCAAGAGAAAACGATTTAAGACTGAGATTTTCCTCTCCAGACTCTGGAAAATGCAGGGAAAATAATTAAACTGAAAGTGGGCCTAGGATTTCGATTTAATTTCCATTTGAGACTACTTTGAAGGCTGGACAGGACTGGTTTTATGCATAGAGAATTCACAGAAGATTCAGTGGAATCGTACTTACAATTTTCCAACACTTTTTGGCGGACTTTTGAACACTGTAAAGTACTGTACTTTTGAGTGCTCGAAACTGAAGTAAATTGTCCTCCAAGAAGGTTCTGATTTTATAGAATTTGTTAGATTCAAAATCGATTCCGAGTTCCAAAAAATACGCTTTTTACTGCAAGAAACATTTCAAATCCTTGGCATCTTTTCTTTGTAGCCTTCTTTTGGGGAACATCCAATGAAATATGTACATATTTTGAGATACATATTCGAAACTTCCTCGACAATCGCTCCCTGATTCAAAACGTTTTTGGTATTCTTCCCCAAACGAATCCTGAAAAAGCCACAAAACTAAACAAAATCTTCCACTCGTACGAGTGAATAAATGTATCTGTATCTGGTTGTGGTTGCTCTCCCTCCTTTTCTCTCTCTGGCTCTGAGTTCAAAAAGTCAAAACTTATTCATTCGCCCATAAATATAGAGACATTTGTTGCAATTTCCAGGTTTTTGTTGCACTTTTCCTTGAGAAATAATTAGAAAGAAATATTTCATCGAAAAGCACAGAGAAGATCCTTGCCACAAAATGAATTTACATCCAATTGTAGAGGCAGAAGGGAAAGAGAAGAGAAAGCAAAGGGAAAGACAGGATTTCCCAGGGAAATTCCTGCTGATGTGTCTCCGTGTGGGGCTTGGGGGGCTTGGGGGGCTAGGGGGGGCATGTGGCAGACAGCAATAAAACATACACAACTTGTCACGACTCTGACACTGATTGAAATTATAAACTGTCACCGAAAGCCATCCCTTAGCTACGCACAGCCACACACACACACACACAGAAACACACTCCAAAACACACAGATACAATTCCCAAAAGGACCTCCATACATGTGTGTGTGTGTGTGTGTGGGGGGGGGATGTGTGTCCTGTCTTCTCTATGGATCTCTGATGTATATTATTATTTGAGAATTTTTGCATACAAATTAGGAAGGTCTCCATCCTGCCTCCTGTCTCCATCCCTGCCTGCGCTTTTCCTGCGGAAAATCTATGCCAAATATTTGGCCCAGAGAAAGTGTTGTCTGTAGGGGGAAAAAGGAGGACGAAAGGGAGGAGGAATCACGAGCAGAATGCCCAGCGAAAATTGAGCTCATTTTTAGGTCTCCAGGACAAAGTTTTCATGGAAGCGATAGGAAAAAAATGGGAAAATCAGGGGCAAGGGGATGGCTATGTGGAAATGTACAATCCTGACCATGCAGCAACTCCTCTATCTATCTGCTTGCTCTGCTGCTGTGGCGCCTCTTGTGTTGCATGAAGGAAACTTTTAAATTGTGCGTCACCCAACGAAAGTATATGAAAAATGGCACGAAAACAAAAGTTTTTTCCATCAAAGGAGCGGCAGGACCTGCTGCTGGTAACAGGGAATGCAGGATACCAGTCAGTGGAGTCGTAATTGAGGCAAACTATGAAATACGAGTGGAAGAGCAAAAGATGCAACAGCAGCAAGCAAATTGTAATCAATGGAAACCTATTTTTCCAGAGCAAAAGTAGAAAATATGAGGTTGATAAAGGGGTTTAAAGATACAAAGATACATTTATGGCACTACCAGGAGATAGGAAAGGAAGAGGTAGCGGAAAGGCTTAAAGAAAACCTCCCTTAAGAGAATTTTATTAAAGTTACGCACAAAATGGGATTATAGTCGACGCACATTGGATCAAACCTTGGGATATGAATGCGAGAAATATAGGACATACTCGTATATGAAACTAAAGTTTTCTTAGAAAACTAAACACTTTCCGTAGTAGGGGGAAAACTCATGGGAAAACATGGCAAAACAACTCAAGAGATAAATGGACTTAATCTAAAGACTTGCATCTAAAAGTTGTAACATTGGAAGCGCAAAGGAAAACCAAAGAAAAACTCTAATTACCATTTCTCAATTGAATTTCCCAGGGAAGACCCCCGCCCTTCTCTCCACCCCCTTCTTCTGACTGTCGATACGTGGCTGTAGTTGTTGCATAAATAACCCAAGAGCCAACAAAAAGCAACGATTGTGCCACACAGAACATTAAACATTACATTTCCATAAAAGGAGGAGTAAAGGAGGGGGGGGAAAGCGGGAAAACTAAATTTCAATTAGTGATTCTTTCTCCCCCATAAAGCAAAGGAGAAGCGGAGGAGTGGGAAGCGAAAAAAGAAGAAGCCCTGCCAAAAAAAAGAAAACCGAACTTCGTCTGCTGTCATCAGAGTCTCTTCGCCTCTCTTCTCTTCCCTTCTCTCCTCCCCCACTAATTGTTCCCTCTTCTAACAGCGCTCCCCCCTCCCCTCCTCTACTTCGGTTCGGTCTCGTGTCTGTTCTTGACTTTCGGGTCTTTCGGCATCGGCTTAAAGTTGACAATTAAAAACTTTTTCGGAGCTCCTTTTTTTGTGTTTTTAATTATTCGTTTGTTGTACCCTACCCTTTGCAGAAAGAGGGTATAATCGGCACGATCGAAACGAATGAAAATTAAGGTAGGAAGTCTACCAAATATATGTAGATAGAAGAAGCAGGAATGATAGCTTGAAGATATTTTTGTTTAGATTTAAAAGGGATTTAAATTGAAAATCAAATTTATAAATGACAAACACCAAAATCCATCGGTCTACAAAAAGGAATATGCTTAGTTCTTTTGATTTTTCATGAATATCTTTTACTTTTAATCGATGTAAATAAGTATCCTGGTTTTCTAAGGTATTTAAAACTTCGATATCCAAAGCTAGTTTCAAGTTCTTTCTGATTTTTGTTGCTGTTGTTTTAGTGCTGCTTCTCTAAATGAGTTTTTTGTCAACAAAGAGACAGACCAGAGAGAGAGAGAGAGACAGAGACAGCAAGCTGGAGAGACAAAGTTTGTCAAACGCAAAACTGTGTGCAAATTAGTTTAGTTTACTGCCATTTTCACAATCTCTCCATTTTTCGCTGTTGCTTCGTTTTTTTTTCGTTTGGTTTTATCTCTATTTTTGTTTGGAAATAATTTAAATTTTCAAAGGTACTGCTTTTGATTTGAGTTCTGCTGCTCCTCTCTTTCGCCAGGGGCAAGGACAAAGAGAGAAGTTTGGTGTTTGATCGCATAAAAGATACTTTTTGCATGCGACGAAGGCGAACAGAAAGGTGTATTTTTAGGTGAGTCGTTCTCAGAGAGCTCTCTTCTGCATCACCCTTCCCTTCCAAAAGCACACCTTGGTCGGCGCGGATCGGAGCTTCGGGTATGTGGGCGGGCGGCTCAGAAATTGTCTCACACACACATGCGCACACACTTATGAAAAAACTCACCTCAGTTTGGCCGCTGCGACTGCGCTGCTGCTTCTGCTCGAAAACTGGTTTTTATATGCTTCTTAAAATGCTGCTTCTGCCACTGCTCTGCTCTTCTTATCGATGTGTGTGTGTGTGTGTGTGGGTATTGGTTTTTGTACCTTTTTTCCAATATGTTTTTTTTTCTATTGCGTTTTTCGCAATTCTCTTAGCGACTGCGACTAGCATTCAATTACGACAAACAATTGGGCCGCAAACAAAAGGAAAATCACGCACACACAGGCACAGAAAGTACACAATACAAGCGCAAATACCTGTGCGCTTCACTTGTCGCGCGCGTAGGCGTCGCGTTGGACGGTTGGACAGTGGGTTGGTTGGGTGGGACACCGGAGGGGGAAACGGTGCCGGGTGGGCGGTCAAGGCGGTAACTGGTACAACAACGATTCAAGGCGAAAAACACGCGGATTCAGATTCAGACCCCGACTCCCGAATTCAAAAGCAAATTCGACACATCCTTGTCCGCGGCGAGGGGTATTAACATATATATTTTCTGATAATAACACCAGTTGCTTGTTGTCTGGTTCCGCGGTTCGTTTCTGATTTGAATGGAATGCAACCATTCGACACAACACTAACTGTTTTCACCTTCGCGGCCGATTGGGGATTGTGGTTTGTTGCCTCCAACTAGGGGCCGACAGTTGGTTTTGTGTTTACATTTGCTCAATTTACAACATGGCAACTACACAATGCAGAAAAAGAGGGTATGGACAACAGGCTACACGGCCCAGAAAATGCACCGCATGCAAGGCAAAACCCACCCCTTTTGAATAATATACCTTGAGGCCAAAAACGCCGATTTTGTCTTCAAGGTATATTGCGGCGACAAAACACGGCGAGGTGAGGTTCATGCGAACCTTGCAATTTTCCTCGGCTGCTTTTGCCTGTTGTACATACCTCTTTTGATAGCCCATTCAAAATTACTCACCGACTCATTTTCTCGTTCCATGTATGAGCGCCTCAGTGTTGCGCTTCAAGCTGAATTTCGCCAGCAACATGTCTCAGTTACAGTGGGTGTTAAGTGGTTTTGCAAAGCCAAATTTTCGTTTGTGTTAAGAAAATATTATTTTTAAAGACCGTAAAGCAAAATTGACTTGGCAATGTTAATGCATCAGTAAGTTATCTCTTCCTCTTGCTAGTATGCCTCTTTTTGCATTTGTAGTTCACCTTCTTCGTCTCTTGCTTGCTGCCTGCTCACCTGTCACCGTTTGCTGTTGCTGCTCCCGTTGCTGTTTTTGTCGCTGTCGCTAAGTCAATTTTAAGGTTTATTTAAATTTCAATTTCTTGGTGTAGTTTTCCCTCAATGTATTTTCTCTGTTGCTTTTTCTCCTTTTCCTTCTTCTGTAGCTGCTGCTGCCAGTGGGTATCCACTGGCTGAGGGGAGTATGATGTTTTTCGGAGGCTGTTTATAACGCAGAGACTTGTTTCTTTCTAGACATCGCAGATTGAGAGACATCTTGACTATTTCATGGGTATAAAGCATTCGTTTCCTGTTTGTTTAAGTGTTTTATGTAAATTTAGCAAGACGCTATCGAAGCTCTCTCTCACACTTGCCCTCTCACTCTCTCTCTCTTTGCTGGGGTGGTAATGAGGCTAGCTTTATGCCGGTCCATACTTATTGGTTTTCATCGTTTTGCACTCCTCCCCGCTGTTATGCCACTACTGGTCCTCTGCCTTTTACTTTTCCTCTCTCCCCATTCCCCTTTCTCCTTCTGCCTGTTGCTGGTGATTTGTGTTTGTGTTTGCTGCAAACTAATAACAAATTAATTTTCATTCGAATTATGCATGCTCTGCTTAACACACACACACAAACACAAAGAGAGAATAGAGACAGTGCGTGGGAGTTCAAGAGATGAAAAGGAGCAGAAGAGATTAGCATTTTTGGCCAAGGATAAACGAATTTTCGGGGCACGACGGCACACAAAATATGCAATTACTGTTCATGGCAGAAGTAATTGCATTTAGATGTCGAAATCGAGTTCGAAATTAAATATACATTTGTCTCGCTCTCTCTGGCATAATTGCATTTAAAAATATCAGGGAAAAATCGTCTCTTAAGCTCCGCTCAGACCCGATCTCCGACTCGATTTTCATTCGCCTTTAAACAGGCTTAGCTCGTGCCTTTTCTCCCCCCTCACCTCTCTCTCTTGCAGTGAGCCAGGCAATCAACAAAGACAACAAAAACGTAAAAAGCCAAAAAAGGGACAACGCTAAGGGAGAAAGTCGTCTCCTTCCCCCTCGAACTATCTCTTGCAGTTGTACCGTTAATGATGATGCCACACACGTGTTTCTCCGTCTCTCTTTTTGTATCTCTCTGTGTTTGTGTGTGTGAGCTGCATCTGAAGTTGGAAGATGCACTCATGCAGCTTGATTGGCCTGCTTACACGCTCTCCTCCATCTCTTCTCCCCCTCGCAGTCCCAGTCCCCTCTCAAGCCACAAGTCAAAATCTGTTTAAGAAGAAAGCGACTGAGTGAGAGGGAAAAATTGCAAAAGTTCATGTTGTTGAGGCAGGGACAAATGGTTCAAGATTATCAAGGACATCCGTTAAAAGAGAGAAAAAGAGAGAAAAATACAGGGCCGGGCATTTGAGTCAATCTCATTGTGGTTTCTTCATCTGTATCGAGATAAAATCAACATCTCTCTAATTAGAATTACAATTATCCAATTATTTTAATGATATACGGGTGATAGCCGCTAATCAGTGCCACGACCATCCTATCCTTGACTAAATATTCCAAAGGGACTTACATCTATAGTAATCTCCGCTCTCTGATTCCCAATCCACTGAAATTAGCTGCCAATTATTTATGGCCATTGCACAGAGATTAATGCATTGCACTGACCTATGACCTCCAGTCCTCTATCCCCACTCTCCTCTTAAATAATTGGCAGCACCGAAAAAGTCGGTGGCCAACGATGGCGATTCCTCTTCTTCAACCCAAAATGCAACTTCTCTTCTTCGATATTGTCGTATTGGGACGTTCATTTGTGGTCTAATTAGATTTTGGGCCACAGTTCAGTCACTGGCAAGTCGGGTATTATTTTGGGCTCTCTCGTAATAAACACTGTAATAGCCCCCTAACCCCCTAACCCTATGACCATTTCTCCCCCTCTCTGTGCCCACAAGAGGGAGGCATCATCATCGATGGCGCCTCTCATGATTTATGCCTCTCGCAAAAGCCAAAATCCCGACGAAACCAAACAAAACTATTGCTAATGAGGTCTGCAATGCGCGGGGCAAATAAATTCCGGTTTGCAAGTGTCACACACACACTCCTCTCGCCCCCCTCCCCCCTCCCTCGCCCATTTTGGCCACAGTCAACCCTCGGACTGGGCATCGGGCTAATGACCAAAAGCGGATTTCGCATTGCAGGGGAAACTCATTTTTTCTTTGTTATTTTCAGCCGAAACATGAATTAAAATAAGCTGCTCCAAAGGAGGAGGTCTCCTTAGCATACTGCCCCTGAAAGTACTTCCTTCGAGAGTAAACCCTCCAAAGTTCTAACCCTGAAAGTTCGCCACCAAAAAAAAAAAGGGGGAAGAAAATGCGCTGAAGCGTTTCAGGTCCGCCAGAGCTCCTTCGGCTAATGTGAGGATATCAAATTTAATTTTGCGTAATTAATGTCCTCCATAGGTCTCCTCCCCATTCCGGGAGGACCAGGGGCCAAAAGCATGACCAGAAAAGGGAAAAGAAAATTCATTAATATGATTTAGGCCCAGAGGGATAAACAACAACAGTCAGGACAGGCTACCCCAAATAAACCGAAAAACAAAAAACAAAATCATCAACCAAAATCGTTTTGTATTTATGTTTTGGGTCGGCCTTCCATTTCCGTGCATCAGTGAGCGGCGGAGCTACAGGAGGGTTTTCGCCTTTTTTTGCACCAAAACAAAAAGTGACAAACAACAAGAAAACAGAGACTGAGAACTGAGAAAGTTTGTTGACACCTGCAGGCGATTTGAAGGGATCAGAAGTTAAGGGCAGAGGATACACTCTTTTAGAGACAGAGACAGAGGCTGGGAGAAGCCACGTTTCGAGAAGATCTTTAAAAGTACCTTTGCAGTGGAAATTTATCAACTAGTGAAGTTGTTTTCTCTTCACAGAGCATCAGCCTATCCCCAACTCCAGACCAAACCCTTCTCTGCACATTAATAGCTTTCCTGGGTTAGGGCATCCCTTCATCAAAAAGGTTTAAATCAGCACGTGGTATGCATCCTCACCCATGTTTCTCCCTCGCTCTCTGTCTGTTGTTTTAGTGTTTGTTTGTCTATCTATCCGCTCAGCTGCGAATATTGCCTGCTCTGGGCAGACTTCTCCTCATCCTTTGGACATGGGACAACCATTCAGAAGGAGGAGGCATGAGCGCCGCTTTGTTTATTTGCATTGGCTGCGGCGATGGATTTATGAGAGACGCCATTGAACTTGCCCCCACACGCCCTACCTTTCCGTCTCCCTCTGCCACTATCTGCCTCTGCCTCTCGTTTTCTATAGATGTATGCGAACACAATTATGCCATAGGCACGCACACTCTGCCTAAACCACTCACAGACACCAGCAGCAAATGCCCCTGCCCCTGCCCCTGCCCATGTCCCTGCCCCTGTCCACCAAGCAACCCCTTCAGCGATTCCCTTTCCCGCATCGCCATTTGGTCTTCTGACCCAAAGCCAATTTTGACATTTGCGTTTTGACGCACGCGGCGTATACGCAATTTTTGACTCTTGGAGCCACTCTTTTGCCCAGGCTTTTGTTCCCCCTCTCCCTTGCTCTTTGACCACGTGACCAGCAAATTGCAAACGTTATTGCTGCTGTTGCTTCTTCGTTCTTTTTTGGGTAAAGATTTCAGTGGGATATATGGGATACGCGGGAAATGGTTATGTTATATAAAATACAGTGGGTATTCATGGTTGAATGAGGAAAGATGGTTAAATAATAAAGAAAGTAGCCTAAAATGAAATACAAATTATCGGTAATGAATGAATAAACACTTCGTTTGATTCTGAAAAAAATGTATCGGAATTTTAATAATTACAGTCGATCAGAGAAAATATCTTGCATTGATACCGCAATGATAAACTCAGCCACTACCTGCTGCACCTACCACGGAAGGACTGCAGATTATTAGTGGGAATATTAACGGGCCATTGCCTGGCTGCGGCGCATGCAACAAAGCTAGACAACATAAACAGAGACAGTTGTAGGAAATGTGACGAACCTGGGGCAACCGAAACCCTGGAACATCTCATCTGCAACTGTCCTTCTCTGTTAAGGGCAAGGAGGAAATACCTGGGCGCGCCAGTGCTGGCATCACTGGAAGATGCCTCCAAGAGGACGCCACAGCAACTACTGGCCTATGCGAAAAATACGTCGATCCTCGAGGACTTCAAAATCCCCTAAACACTGCCGCGACGGTTCATATCCCTCCCCTATCCGGACAACTAAGGGCCATACTGGCCTATGTGGGGCCCCTCTGAGGGCCGTCCGGGTCAACCTAACCTACCTATCTTCTTATTGCATCGCTGTTTCTGTAACTTTTGAGTCGATAGGTGAATTCAATTGATAATTCCTAACGATACTCGTTTCTGTCCGATATCCAAGTGCATGATAACTGAAAATGTTCCACATCAAGTCTTCAAAAAGGCGGAAGATACCTCAAACATGATGATTACTGATCTAAGAACCGTTTCCAGACATTTCCCCGATTCGATACTACATCATCAGTTCCTAACGATAACATACTAATCTAATACGAGTATATACGAGTATTCTCTTAAGTGACATATTATTAAGATATTAAGAGCTAGAGACCTACCTTGGCTAGAGTTCAAACTTTCTACTGTCTTTCCCATTATGAAACGCACTGGCATGACACACATAATCGTACTCGTGGGAGGGGTATTTGTGCAATTTCTCATATTTCATGGCTTGACCTTTCCTCCTTCTATATTTTGTTGGCCGTCATATAAATTGTTTGTTCCCAGTGTTCTCTTTTCTTTTGCTTCTGCTGTTGTCGTTGTTGTGGCATATATTTTTATGACCCCAAAACGTTGGCACGTATCGTATTTGGGGAGCCAAAACAGAACAGAACAAGCATTCCTTTTAATACTATAACCAATATAAATGTCATTTATGTTTTGGACACTTTTCTGGGAGGGAGGCCACTAGAGGGAGGTGGTGCCACGTGTAGAGCCCTTTAGAGTCGTGTTAAAAAAAAAAACTGAAGGAGAAAAATTCTGTCATGGTCAGCGATACAAAAACCAACCATAGCGAATTGCCGAAGGAGGAAGTGGGGGGGGGGGGGGGGGGGTGGGGGCACTTGAAGCAGACTCCCATGAAGAACACACACCACAGGACATCTGCAGGATGCACACTATTCGTATCTGTATCTGTATCTGTATCTGCCTCTCTATCTCTATTTGTATCCGTATCTGTATCCGCTTCAAAGTGCGGTTGAGGGTGTCATAAGCATCGACAGCACACATTCCATACACACGAATGGAAAGAATGATAGCAGCACTTTGTGGCACTTAAGGATATGCAAAAGCTGTAAGGACTTCCGCTTAGGTTTCGAGCTGGATTGTTTGGCCAATTTTGTTGGATTTCGAAAAGGATTGAAGTTGGGGAGTCTGTGAGCCTTAACAGATGGTTCTTGAGTATTAGAAAAGCCAATTTTCATTTGGAGAGGATTGACATTGTAAGATGTAGATTCTCTGGAATTCCGGACAACTCCCTGCCGTTACCGAAACGGATTTCAATCAGAACTGTAACTAGGATTCCGATTCCGATTCCGATTCCTCGTTTGTTATTCATTCACGAAGACAAATGGATCTGGAAATGGCGGCTCATTCATCTCAGCTTTTCCATTTCCCTCCTAAAGAGGCGACACAGACACTCTTCCATGTTGACTCCACCTAATGACAGGCAGGAGAAGACAGCTACGGGTAAGTACTGTCTGCTCCTCCTCAATGGAAGCTCGTTTCTGTTTCCGGTGTTGCAACTGCTACAACTTCCTGCCTCCTTGTCTTCGGGCTATACTCGTAAAAGCGGAAGGCGTCATGCTGCTTCGAGCTTTTGTTCTCCTACCGCACCCCTTTTTTATATAGTCTTTTTATGTATGCCCTTTCCGAGTCGGTCTTATTATTGCATTATCCCCTGCGGTGGGGTCTGGAAGGGGCTGTGCTCTCCCACCCTTATATTAATATTATTTTTATTATGCATGTCGCGTGAGCTGCTGCCGCAGAGAGAGAGGAGAGAGAGAGAGATGGGGGAAAACAATATTTATTTATTTCAACCCTTCCAGAATACGGGAATGGGGATGCGATGGGTGCGGGTCCCTCCCTTCAATGTGCCATAAATATGACAGCGATTTCCTAGGAAGGTCTTTCGTTCCGCTTCTGGTTTGGAACCCACATCAAGAGGATCCCGGTGTCGGGTCACGATTTGAGGCTTTATTGTATTCCCATCGAAGCTATTAAAATACTAACTATTAATAAATGAATTCCATTGCCCGACTCACACATCGTTCTCTTCCTTTCTCTCCCTGTGGCCCATGATTTTTGTGTTCTATTTTCTGTCAACTTTTTGATGCCGCATTTGTTGAGGTTTATCTAGTTTTTGTCTATGTATTTTTTATGGCCCGTATATTCTTGATTTATTTTTAGTGTCAACTAAACTGAAACATGCAAAATATGGCGCCGTTAATGCCACACTTTGAACCCTTCTATTGTGCCGCGAGAGTGCAGCTGGTTTAAATTTGCGGTCGCAAGGGCACAACGGGATTTTATGCCGTCAGCGTTGTTATTCAGACTTGTTCATGATTGCTGAGGCTTGAAACTAAATTGGGTTTGGTGTTAGTGCCACAATGGAAGCGTAAACAGTATATTTAACATAGAACTGAACATAGAGGACACAATGGTTGATAAAAACAAAGTTTTCCATCATAAAAGGCATAGAAGGACTCTTTGCTGAGATCTTGTTATCGCTCATTGGCTTTTTTAAAAGCTGTTATCACATTTGAGGCCGATTTCCACATCACGTTCCAATTCAAATCGCTGCCCGACATTCAAATTTGCGCGCCCAACCGCCACACACTAGCTGTGCTCTTCTTACAAATAGCCGCATGGCAGTTCGAAAATTCGAACAAGAACTCCAGTTCGTAATTCGCATTAACGGACAAGCCGGCGGATGCAACTCTCAAATTTACACAAGACTACAAAACTGTGCTCTCTAACGGGGCCAAATGGTTATACTGTGGCAGGCAGGCAGTTTAATTTGGTTGTTTACATTGTGGTAAGCATGTGTTTTAGTTCACTTCACTGTGTTTTCAAGAACAAGCAGATTAAATAGGACTCGAACAGGTGCACACGAACATCTGTGGTGGGCATCAATTAAGTGTGCATTTCAATTGAAGAACACTTTATAAAGTCACAGCGACTTGATAACTGCCAAAATCCAACTGAGTGAGGAGTTGAAATCAGTAAAAACCTTGGACCTCTCTCTTGCGTCTCTCGAAAAATTGCATGGCCAGCAATATCCCCACGAATCGATCGAGCGTGGAGCGACAATACAGATTGTGTCCACTCAGCGTCTCTCGCCGCGACGGACCCCGCTTTGAAATGTGGAGACGGAGACCAAGGTGGCAGCAGCAGCGTGGATGTGGATTTGGATTTGGATGGAAGTTGCGCATATCAATTGAGGCCGATCGAGGGAGAGACATCGACAGGGCCTACCTGCTCTCACAGCTCTCCGTTCTCTGTGTGCCGCTGCTGCTGCTGCTGCTGTTCGGTTATAAGGCCGCGGCCCAGCGTCATGTCGAATCAGTCAGCCCCTGGCCCTTTGTCGGACGTGTGTTACGTGTTGCACTGAGCCCTGTTGCTCTTCCTCCGCCCGCCCCCCGCTGGGACATTGTCAGTGAGAGAGAAAGAGATGAACAGAAAGCGGACGAGCCTACTGCACTGGCTGCAGCAGCTGCTGAGGACGCTTCTGGTGCGCCTTCTGTGCCAGTTCAAATCGAAGGCCGGTCTCACGAAGGCGACAGCAGGCAGCAACAGGTGCAGGCCCAAAGGGGGTGAAATCGTGCCCATACCCCGCGTCAAGGGGCTGCCTGTGGTGGGGACCCTGCTGGATTTGATAGCCGCCGGCGGAGCCACACAGTGAGTAAAGAACGACCTAGAGAATGGATTACTCTATAGATCGACCACTCTCTTCCTCCCAGACTACACAAGTACATCGATTCCCGCCATCGACAGTACGGCCCCATCTTCAGGGAACGCTTGGGCGGTACTCAGGATGCGGTGTTCGTGTCGTCCGCCCCTCTTATGCGTGGGGTCTTCCTGCACGAGGGTCAATATCCGCAGCATCCGCTGCCAGATGCCTGGACGCTGTACAACCAGCGGCATGCCTGCCAACGTGGACTGTTCTTTATGTAAGTGGAGCGACAACGACGCAATGGCGAAAGTCGGAAAAAAGAGCTGAACCGCGAGCTGCGACTCTGTCTATGAATTGCAAATTACTCTCAGCTAATGTCTGCTTCTCTTCGCATCCATCTGCATGGCTAATGTCACAGGGAGGGGGCGGAGTGGCTGCACAATCGGCGTATACTTAATCGCCTGCTCCTCAACGGAAATTTGAATTGGATGGACGTGCATATTGAGAGCTGTACGCGGCAGCTGGTCGACCAGTGGCGCGCACGCACCGAGGAGGCGACTGCAGATTGCGACGTCCCAGGGAGTCCCAGCTACTATGAGCTGCCGGATCTGGAGCAGCAGCTCTACCGTTGGTCCATAGAAGGTGAGTCTGTCGGAGTTTAGAACTTTACAACTACGTCTCAAAAGTATTTCTTTGAAACATTTGCAAATTTTTTGTTATATTTCTAGAATTTTCTGGAAATTGAAAAAAATATACTACTAAACTACGAAGATTTGTATTTTTCTAGTATTTTCCTGATCTAACAAAGATATAACTTATTCCGTCACCCCTCTCCATCCATAGTGCTCTGCTGCATCATGTTTGGCAGCAATGTCATGACCTGCCCCAAAATACAATCGGCTTTGGACCACTTCACGCAGATCGTGCACAAGGTCTTCGAGCATAGCTCGCGCCTGATGACCTTTCCGCCCAGATTGGCACAGCTGCTTCGCCTCCGCATTTGGCGCGACTTTGAGAGCAATGTGAACGAGGTGTTGCGCGAGGGCGCTGCGATCATAGACCACTGCATTGGAGGGGAGATCACCGAAGACGGACAGCTGGAGCAGCGGGAGGAGACGCTATTCAACCGACTGCAGGCGGCAGAGGTGCCCGGCGAGATGATCAAGCGGATTTTTGTGGACCTTGTCATAGCAGCAGGTGACACGGTGTGAATTAAAACAGCAGAAGCTGCCGAATTGATTGACTAATACGAATCCCCTCCCGCACAGACCGCCTTCAGCAGCCAGTGGGCGTTATTCGTTCTTTCGCGGGAGCCACAGCTGCAGAGCCGCCTTGCCAGGGAGCGAGTGGCGTCCGAGTCGCAGCTGCTTCACGGCTTGATCAAGGAGTCCCTGCGTCTATATCCCGTTGCGCCATTCATCGGACGCTACCTGCCGCAGGATGCTCATCTCGGTGACCACTTTGTTGAAAAAGATGTGAGTAAATGTGTGAGCTTCTCAGCTCCACAGCAGGAACCATCGATTGCTCATCTTTTTCACCATCCTTTCAGACCCTGGTACTCCTTTCACTATACACGGCCGGTCGCGATGCATCACACTTTGAGCAGCCGGAGCGGGTCCTGCCCGAGCGCTGGTGTGTGGGCCGATCGCACGGCAGTCTACCCTTCGCCATCGGCCAGCGGTCATGCATTGGGCGGCGTGTGGCTCTCAAGCAGCTGCACTCGCTGCTGGGCAAATGTACCACCCAGTTCGAGATGCAGTGCCTCAACGAGCAGCCCGTCGACTGTATGCTGCGAATGGTCACAGTGCCCGACCAGACGCTGCGCCTGGCCCTTCGGCCGCGTTCTTCCGAGTGATACGATACACACAGCAATACACAGACGCAGTTCATCTAATCCTAATCGTAGTCGTAATCGTAGTTTCGCTTTAGTTTTATACAAATATATAAATTTCAGACTTCAAACAATAATTCAGGGCGAACAAATAGCCATCAGCAGGACGTAGCCCATGAACAGGGCGACGAGGGTGCCAAGACCCTTCAGGGCCGATCCCAGGAACAGGAATCCCAGGACCATAAAGCAGGCCACAACGGACAGAAGGAACTTGGAGGCGAGCGGCCGCAGGGAGATGCGAGCCGTGACCGTCCTCTCCCTGATGTCCGTGTTGCCGTCCCGCTTATCGAACCACTGTTCGATCATGGGGGCCAGGAGCAGTTGGCGCGTCAAGCTTCCAAAGTAGTCCTGACGTTCATAGCTGGATTGCAATTGGATTTTATACTAAAAGCAAAAAGAACGCTATAGGTGGGATTCGGAAAGAAGAGAATTCCTGTGGAAACGCACCTTCTGGTTAATTGCATCCGATATTCTGTGCAGCCGTCTGACTAAATACGTGATCTCGCCGGTCTGGATGGGCAAGAGCGCCGGATCGATGGCAGCTGTCAAGTTGGAGGCATTCATCGACATCTGCCGTGGGTTCAACCTTGAGGTGTCCAGCAGGGAGTCGCTGGTATTGAAGAAGCTGCGATTATTCGCCGAGATGGAGGTCGGCAACGTACACTCCTCAGGTAGCGTCTCATGCATGGAGAGATTGGCTTGATCCAACTACAAGAGGAAGACTTAAAAAGGAAAAAAGCAAGGCGTATGGATGCGGCACTCACATTAAATGCTCGACAGAGGTGATCGATGCACTGGCGCAGAACCTCCGGCACACGCGACACATCGGCCAGCAGCGTCTCGTCCTGGCTCGGCTCGTTCCACATCCTGTGCAAAAAGTTCTTGAGGAATCCCTCCAAACGCTGCTTCTCCAAGATCTCCATTCGCAGGCGCGAAACCTCCCGCAGCACCTGGTTCCGGGCCATGCTGATAACAAACAGAAAGTTCTCCATGTCCGCGCGCATGGTGTCGCTAAAGAGTTTGGGCATGCTCGACCATTGGGCGCTCTGCGGCAGGGATTTGCTTGAGGAATGCACAAATATTCAAATTAGAAGGGGCATTCAATTTACAGCGAAATGTACACCAACCTCAGCAAGTGCGTCTGACGATGAGGCGAGTCGAAGCCATAGGAATTTCCCGAGTGTAAACGCTCGAAGCGCTGCAAACGGTCTGCCAGATTCTGATCGCCAAACGTCATGGCCAGGCGGTTCAGCATTTGGCAGTTACGGTACACGGTGTAATCGAGACGTCCAAATTGCGGCAGCAGCTGCATGAAGATATGCGTGTAAACGATCAGATTGTCCATGATGAATGCATCGTAGGCCGAAGTTATGGCCGGCTTGTAGCTTTGGCCGGATCTAAAAGAGAAGCAAAAGGATATTCATGGTTTCAATCTTTCAACCTCGTAAGAGCTGCCCCTACTCACTCTCTGCTGTTGAGGATGGCCATAGTGTATCGCCATGGCTGGATATAGCTTAACCACAGCTCCAGGACCACCAGCAGTGAGCTGTCCAGCGGCCAGCGATCTATAAGACCCGACAGGAAGGCATATATGCGCCCCTTGACCATGCTCAGGGACAGCTTGCGCAGCGAACAGAGTGAGGTAGGATCCACCGGGGCCGTGCTGGCGAAGAAGTGAATCTGCTTGACTAAGGTGCGGACAGCGCGCACCCAGTCGCTGCCGGGCAGATGATGCTCCGACTCCACGTCGTAGCGCAGCCAGATGTCCACAAAGAAGTGAAGGACCGACTCTGAGCGCCAGGCATAGTTGCGGGCCGCGCTGACACTGGCTGACATCGACTGTGGCGAGATGTTGCCGCCTCCCGGGCCGCCACTCCCACCGCCAGAGCTGTTGCCATTGCGATAGGAGCTAGGTATCCTTATGAAGCGCGGTTGGCGCTGCGGCTGCAGCGACTGTGTGGGTAAGGGCTGCGGCGCCTTGACGCCGCCACTGAAGTAGCTCGGCTCGATGCGGGCATCAGGAAACAGAGGCAGAAAGTTGTTCAGATACTCGCTGACGAGCATTAGATACACGGTCTTGCTTCGCGTATTGTGGATCTGCATTGCGACGGGATCGATGCTGTGCAGTGGCTGTAGACCATGCAGCACGAAGTGTAGCATGTAGAAGTCGAAGCTATTTAGGGAGAGCGTTGACACCTGGTGTTTCTCTGGATCGATGTTGAGCAGATCCGAATAGAACATCGGACTCTGGCCGGTTTGCAGCATTGTGACCAGTTTCACCGGCAACAGGCTGATGTCTATCACGAACTTGGCTTGTTCGGCCAGCAGCCTGTGGCACACGATCATCCAGGGGCCGCACACGCCAAAGAACTGCTCCAGCGTCTTGTACACATTCATCCCGCTCTCCGGTGTCGTCGTGCGCAGTCCCCAGCCCAGCGGATTCCCATTTACCCCGAATATGTAATGCACAATGTGGGGGAATATTTCTTGCAGCTCTCGCAGCGAGCACCGTTCCATCAGCATTAACAGATCTCTCACCCGCTCCAATGGGGACAGCCGCAGCGCAGACAGAACGCGGTTCTGGAATTGCAGTTCACCAAATTCAGTAAATACATCCTAATCATGCTAGTCTACTTACGAGTATGTTCTCGGGTGGTATAGCTGTCATCATTTTGGAGTCCTTTAGGCGCAATATGCTTACTTTAGACTAACAATTAAATGGACTTTAAAAACATTTAGCTATCGATATTATCGATACTATCAAGCGGAATTGCAATTTGTATCGATAGCCGATCTTGGATCGAGTACGGCTCTCTTCGAACAGGTTGACAACATTAATTTGCAAACCGTGTTTAAGCCAAAATACAATAAAAGCAAGGACTAAAAACTAGCCAGTCTTGAAGAAAGTTTATTCATCAATAGGATAAAATTATGTGGGCATGGCTAAATGTTCTATCTAGCTAGTAATATTTGACGGAATATCAAAAACGAGGAATATGTATAATAGAACATGAATTCGTCAGTATTTCTACGGTATATTTTTACAATGAGACCGTATATTTTGGTATATTTATGAGGGTAGGCGGTATATTTGAACGACGCATCGATAGTATTGGTATATTTCTGAGGGTCGGTCGGTATATTTTAACGATACATCGATAGTATTGGTATATTTCTGAGGGTCGGTCGGTATATTTCAACGATAAATCGATAGTACTGGTATATTTCTGAGGGTAGGCAGTATAAATAAATCCGCGGGTCACACGGCAGCCGGCAAAGTTATTAGAAAAAAGAAATTTGCTGGAAAAATGAAGCGCAGGAGCCAAACCCGAGCCCAAACAGCCAAGGACAGTAGTAATAAGTCGAAGGAAAAGGCCGGCGCTCTGACGTTAGACCAATTCAGCTCCGACGTCATATGGCAGGTGGGTGCTCCTCTGGACAGGCGCTTTCATGCCGCTAAAAACTAATAACAATCGGCATTAATAGGTTGCATCGCAGTACTGGTCGCCGGACACAAAGGCTGAGCATTTGCCTTACAGCGCGAAAGTCATTGAACGCATCTACAATGAGGAAATCGGAGGCACCCACAGAGCGAGACGCATCAACATGCTTGAGTTCAGCCAGTATTTGGAGCAGTATCTGTGGCCAAATTACAAACGAGAGTCAGCGACACATGCCCACCTCATGTCCATTGTGATCATGGCCAACGAGAAGTTTCGTGAACGCGTTCAAGTGTGGAATGTGTTCGAGGAGAAACCAGAACAGTATCCAGACTTTTTCCGCCACGTTCTGGAGTCGTGTCTGCCGGATAAAGGGGCGAAGGAAGCCAGAAGCACGTTGCGTGAACGCACGGCCCTACTGATGTTCCTCAATCATTGCTTCAACAGTATGGAGATCGAGATTTGTCGTGAGCAGGCCAAGCGTCTCGTATCCCTCTCCATGTGGCATTGCCTGCAGCCCCGCCGTCGAGAGCAGGAGCTGCGTGAGGTGCCCAAGTGGCGGAAATACTGGAAACGCCTGCTCAAAAAAGACAAGGAACCCAAGGCGGAAGTCCTGTGGGAGCGGTACTTTATGCAGAACCTCATCATCGACTTCCTTGACATACTCGAGAGCATTCCCGCCGAGGGGGAGATCAAACCCGGTCTGGTGCACTACTGCGAGCGCTTTCTCGAGTTCATCATTGATCTGGAGGCCCTTCTGCCCACGCGGCGCTTCTTCAACACCGTCCTAGATGACTGTCATCTTATTGTGAGGGCTCTGCTGTCGCCGCTCGTGCGTCGCGAGGAGGGAAAGCTGTTTGGGCAGGTATGTGTCAGACTTTTCTTGGTTTTAATCATAAATTAGTTAAGTTTAAGTACAAAAATCTCAATGTTTTACATTGCTAATCTACGAGACAACACTTAGCGACGCTAGAGCTTATATCCTAGACGTAACCCGAGTCGGTGGCTAAATATTCTCAGTAGTCGTTGCCGTTCATGTAGTGCAGCTCGTCGCCCCAGTCGTTTGTGGAGGGTGGCTCATTGTAGCAGCAGGATTTCTTCAGCAGAAACGTCACATGGCGCTGCCGCAGCACACATATGTAGAGCAGCAGCGGACATTGCAGGGCATTGACCACAATGTGGGCATAGAGCAGACCATCTAGCTGCAGCCAGGACATAATGAGGAACAGCCAGGCCACGGACATGACCAAGAGCATCAGCGAAAACATTATGAAGCTGCAAGACGTAGAAGGAAATATTGTCTTATATGAACGATTATGTACGATTTAGAGCTACTCACTTGGCCTTCAGTTTGTGGGCAATGCGTCCGTAGACGGTGCGTCTGTTGATCAGCTTCCTGGTGGTCACATAGAAGAATGTGTTCACAACGATGGTGCATGCAATGGGGGCAAAGAATATGCAAATGCCTAGCCACCCAATCGTCTCCTGTTCGCCCACCATCTGCTCCTGCTTGTACGAATCGGCATCGAGGAAGAAATGCGCAAATACCGCCAGGGCTGCCATTGTGCCTGTGCAGCCCCAGGCGTAGGCGGAGTAATAGCAGTACTTCCTGCCATCGGTGACGCGCAGGAAAACGTTCCTCGAGCGAAAGGTCTTCCAGATGTAGTAGCCAAAGCTGTTCAGCCAAAAGAATGCGGCCAGTAGGCTGAAGCACAGGATGATGTCCGCTACAATGAAGCTTACGTGATTCGTGAGCTCTGTAAAAATTCGCACCAGGTCCGCCGCCTGGCTGACCATCAGACACACGGCTATTGTGGTCACAATGTTACCCACTAAATCTCTGCTGAACGGAAGCAACAATTAAAGCATGAATGGGGTCAGAGTTCAGGCAGCAGAGCTAACCTGAGGGTAGGCAGGATAAAGTAGATAATGGCTATGACCAGCAGGATAATCAGCGATATTCCATGGAAGATGGGATTGAGAATCTTGCGCAGCAGAAAATTCGAGTCGCTCCACTTGATCTCCTTCTTAGCCAGACAGATTTTGGCAAACAGAACATGCTCCTCGCCCGTGCTAGAAGTGGCCTAAAGAATGTAAATTATTGGTTAGAATAGAAGGAGGAGGGCGTGGAGTGTTTTATAAGCCCTATACCCTATCTATGCAGTAGAGTCCCTGATCGTAGTCATGATAGAGCGGCTCCCTTCTCCCACCTATGTCATCCTCGTAGTCTGTTTGCACGCCACGCTGCTCGGCGGCCTCGTCTTCGGCGTTTGTGTAGTGCCTCAGCTTGCCATCGTCCAGAAGCACCAGCTTATCAGAGCTCTGAAAAGAACAGGGAGTCTATAGAGTCTATGGAAAAAACGAGAGACAGAGAGAGTACTCACCCCTGCATAGTGATAGATGGGCCACATCTGCATGGAACCGCAGTTGGGAATGCCAATGATGAACTTGAAGCGCACGGGCCGGTTCTGGTCACCACCATAGCTGGTGAACATGGGCTGGAAGTAGTCTGCAAATGGATGCCATAGAGAGAGAGAGACAGAGACAGAGAGAGAGAGAGATTCTTCAATTGGAAAACAGAACAGAGAACACTTCAAGAGTCTGCCTTTGTTACAATCCGGGGATCGAGGGGAAATCTACACTTCTATAAATATTTAGACTGCATGAAAACAACGTGCTCCCATGCCATGCCATTCCATCATCGTCTCTCAGCTGGCTTTCAGTTTGCGATTTGTGGGGGGATCTGTTCTCCTCCAATTGCCACAGAGATAGGATGCATTCACCCATTCCTTTTGATATGCTAATCAGAAGTACACGGAAACTAGACTGTGCTGCACTCTTCCAATCTTCGGTCATTGACTAATCCTCAGATGAGATCAGTGTGCGATTGTTTGGACTAATTGTTAATGATTCATCTTTGTTGTAGCACTTTTCCTACATACATATGTGTCACATCAATGGCAATGGTTCCAATGTTGAATACAGAATGAGTTTAGGAATGCTTTTGTCATGAGCAGAGCCCTAGAAGCCTCTAAAGTCTAAAGAATCATAAATATCTTTCGTCTTTTATGATTTATCTTCGAACCATGATAACATTCAGTATCACTTTCAAAGATTTCCCATCTTTTAAACTTAATAACCAACCCATTTCCTCTTTGAAAGCCGCCCCCCTTTACCTAAGTAAGAAGCCACTTACTGCACACAGTAGCCATGCCTCGCCGCATAAATCATATCATATCATCAGCAGCAGCCAGCAGGATTGCAGGCACACATCCACAGCCCCTCTCTGTGTTTGTTTTCAAAACATTTCAGAGCGGGAGAAGGAGGCACTGGCTACGTTCCACTGATCTACTGATAGCCAACAAATGGGCCATAAAATGTTGGCCACACATATGTTTTGCTGGTGTAGTATGCATGTCAGAGGGGGGAAAATCCATAGAGTTGAATGGCCAACTCCGGTTGCCAAGACAACCTCGTTGCGTGTGTGTGAGTGGGGGCAGGGTGGGGGGATGGGAACGGCAGGAGCACTCACCCGTTTGGTTGACCTGCTGGCACTCGCTATCCACGTGTATCTCAAACTTTTCGCAGCATTTGTTGACCATTACCAGACCGGGATCGGCTGGAGCTGGGCCTGAAGATCCGCTGCTTATATGGGCCATCGCTCGGGATGGTACCAGAAGCAGCAGTAGCATCAGAACATATACAGAGCAGCAGCTGCATTTTTGCGCGCCAAGCGTTTTCACAAGCATCTTTCGCACACAAAACAGACTCAAAACACAGACAGGGAGACAGGGTGACGGTGACGGAGACAGAGACAGAGACAGAGGTACACAGGTAACCGCGGGTTTATGTGAATCTGTGTTGGACAACAGATGCGTCATCAAGGTGTCTCTCAGTCTGAAGCCGGCTAAAAGTCAAGATCATGACGTTTATGCCAAGACACTAAGGCAAAAACTCTTTGTCGACTTTATCTACGCACAACTGTAGCTGCTGAAAGGTGGGACTGACTGTGTCTCAGATTAACCATAAAAACAGTGAGGGTTTTATTTCCTCTGTATTTAAATGTTTATTCGAATCGGAATTTCGAATTTCGCGGTAAAAGAGAGAACATTCGAATTCAAAAGTCGACGGCTGAATGAGCTGCTTCTGCTCTGGCTTTCTAGTGACTGCAGAAAGAGAGAGCGGCAAAGTTCAAGGTATATACAATGAATGGTAAGGTGTGCCGGTCTCTGACGAGCTCATATAAATCTCTCTGCCCCTAGTTTCGCTTGCATTGCTGCCTTACCTTCTAATATAATATGCCTTGTACGAAGCGCAGTCGGCAACCACCGAGACACAACAAAAAGGAGGGTGAACATTGGGAGTTGCTGCTGCGACCGCAACTCTACATTTATACCCGATGCATAATCAGTATTTCTCTCCTCCGCCAGACGGCGCTAAAATTTAACGACAGGGAGGGCGTGCGAGAAATGCTATTGATGCAAATTGATGCTGATCAAGAATACATATATGTATTGTATATACTTTAGGGGGTCCATTTTCACCACAAACCATATATACCCCTATTCTCATTCTGAGTATCGGGTATAAAAAGTTGAAGCAGGGCTTTGCTCTCTCCTCTTTCCTTTCTCTTTTCCTGCTCCCCTCTTCAGCTAGTGTTTTTGTTTAAATGAAGCGACGGAAATTATCAATTGGAGCAGGCGGGGCGGCAGTCTGGAAAGACAAACCAGGAACCTGCAGAGGGAATGCACGATGCATGTGTGTGTGTGTGTGTGTGTGTGTGTATGTGTAATTCCACCCTCCCTTCTATTAACAGGATGCTATTTGATGGCGATGGTGTGATAAGATGCCGCTGCATTCCCATGCAAGCGAGACAACTGCACTCTCGCCTGTAGCCTGCAGCCTGTAGCCTCGCGACGCGCGTGGCTTGTCTTTCAATGCTGTGAATGGTACTTGTCCCCTTGTCCTCTCACACCTCCCATAAAACACGCTTATGAAAGGAGTGGAGGGAGGCGATTTCGCCTTGCGCTGTTCAATCAGAATGCACTCGGAAGGTGGGACACCCTTCAGCTAACCTTCAGAAATCCTGATTTGGTATTGAATTTCCTGAACGGCGTCGAATTTCCTCCGATATAACTGCTTTTGCTCCCCCATAAGGACTTCCGCTTGCTCTTTAGAGCCAGACCCGCATTTTTTTCACCTTGCTTAATTAGCACTCTCTCGCTCTCACAATCTAGCCCGAGAGAGCGATTCAACTAACACACGCAAATATTAAATACTTATGTATGTATGTATGGGAGTTGTATTGCCCAAACTGATGACGTATCGACCTTATGAGGGGGCAGACCGGCTTTGGCTTTACTTTGACTTGCGATACCTGTAGTTGATGTGACAGAACTTAAAAGAGAGTCCGAGAGAGTCGGAGAGAGCCGTAGAGAGAGAGAGAATTCACGAGGGCAGGTAGTAAAACAACGAAACTCGTTCCATTCAATGCTCGCGCATGGCGTATCGCTCAGGAGCGGTTCAGCGGGTGACGGGGGTAGACGATGGGGATTTCGATACAATTGATGATCTAACGCATAAATAACCGATACACTCCTCCCATTTACAGCTCCTCGACATGTTAAAGTTCTACACCCGCTTCGAGATCAATGATGTGACGGGGAACTCCCTCACCGATCACGACATGACCCAGCTGCACTACAAGAAGATCACTTCCCTGCAGCGGGCAGTGTTCGCCAAGTTTCCCAGTCTGCGCGTGTTCGCCCTATCCAATGTAGCCACCGTGGATAATCGGGAGTCGCTGGAGCAGCACTTTGGGGGATTGGATGGGGAGGGGCTGAAGCAGATCGCCACGTTTCTGAACCTAGTGCCAGAGGAGGTGGCCGCACCGTTCGAGTGGCACCGCCTCGATGAGGCCTTCCTGCGGGAGCTGCTGATCACGCGACACGAGAAGCGCTGCTCCCAGCTGGAGGCCCTCAACGAGATGCCGTTGTACCCCACGGAGCAAGTGGTCTGGGATGAGAATGTGGTGCCCTCGGAGTACTACACAGGCGACAGCTGCCTAGCCCTGCCCAAGCTCAATCTGCAGTTCCTCACGCTCCACGACTACCTCCTGCGCAACTTCAATCTCTTCCGCCTGGAGTCCACCTACGAGATCCGGCAGGACATCGAGGATGCCGTCAGCCGCATGCTGCCCTGGCAGTCGGAGGACGGTGACGTCGTCTTCGGGGGATGGGCACGCATGGCCCTACCCATCGCCAGCTTCGCTGTCGTGGAGGTGGCCAAGCCGCATATCGGGGAGAAGAAGCCCTCGCGAGTGCGAGCGGACGTGGGCGTGACCCTTTCCGTGCGTCGCGAGATCAAGACCGAGTGGGAGAACCTGCGCAAGCACGACGTTTGTTTCCTAATCACCGTGAAACCCACACAGCCTTATGGCACCAAATACAATCCCCGTGAGCCCTTCATCCCACAGGTGGGGCTTGTAAGTGTGCGGGGCTGCGAGGTTGAAGGTATGCTGGATGCCAATGGTCGTGTTGTCGAAGATGGGCCCGAGCCGCGACCCCAGCTGCCGGGAGAGCAGCGCTGTTATCGTGTGTGGCTAGACTCGAATCAGTATCGCCTGGACATGGACGATCTGCAGGATGTAAGTAGAACCTTGCTCTAATCTTTCCCAGTAATCCTTTAATGCTAAGCCTTCCCTCTGCAGGGTGGCGATGATGTCTACGAGAGCTTCAACATCCTTATGCGTCGCAAACCCAAGGAGAACAACTTCAAGGCAGTCCTGGAGACCATTCGCCATCTGATGAACACAGAATGCGTGGTGCCGCCCTGGCTGCACGACATACTCCTCGGATATGGCGATCCGGGGGCTGCCCACTACAGCAACATGCCCAATCAGGAGCGCAGTTTGGAGTTTAACGACACCTTCTTGGACTACGAACACCTGAAGGGGAGTTTCCCCAGCTACGAGCTCAAGTGCGAGCTCCCAGAGAAGAGCCGACTGCCACCCTATCGTCTGATCTTTGAGGATGTGCCCGTGCAAAAGGATAGTGATGGAGAGGAGAAAGAGAAGAATGAACAGGAGCTGGAGGCGGCTGTAAGCAAATCGATTGTAGTGCAGCCCTATAAATACGAGGCCAGGGGACCTTATCCCAGCGACAAGCCCAAACAGTGAGTAAATCTAAGGGTTTAATTCTTCCATTTTCATTTCATTTCCCTCTTCCATCCTTCGTCCCTTATTTTCCTAGAAACACCATTCGCTTTACGCCCACACAGATCGAGGCTATTCGCGCTGGCATGCAGCCGGGTCTGACACTGGTGGTGGGTCCCCCCGGCACAGGAAAGACCGATGTGGCCGTCCAGATCATCTCCAACATCTACCACAATCAGCCCAACCAGCGGACCCTGATTGTCACGCACTCCAATCAGGCGCTGAATCAGTTGTTCGAAAAGATCATGGCGCTGGACATTGATGAGCGACATCTGCTGCGTCTGGGTCATGGCGAGGAGGCCCTGGAGACGGAGAAGGACTACAGCCGTTATGGGCGCGTGAACTATGTGCTGGCCAAGCGCATGGATCTGCTGAACCAGGTGCAGCGTCTCCAGGAGGCCCTCGGCGTGAGCGGTGACAATGCCTACACGTGCGAGACAGCTGGATACTTTTATCTGTACAATGTGATGGCACGCTGGGAGAAGTTTCAGGACCAGATCAGAATTCACCAGGAGGAGGCGGACTTGGACAAGCTGAGGGCTTTGTTCGAGAAGGATTTCCCTTTTGGCAAGTTCTTTGCGGATGCCCCACAGCCACTCTTCAAGGGATCCACATACGAGGACCTCCTGGCCACAGCCGAGTCAAACTTCCGCTACATTTCTGACATATTCACAGAGCTGGAGGAGTTTCGCGCCTTTGAGCTGCTGCGCACGGGCTTGGACCGCTCCAAGTACCTGCTCGTGAAGGAGGCCAAGATCATTGCCATGACCTGTACCCATGCGGCGCTCAAGCGCAAGGAACTGGTCAATCTGGGCTTCCGCTATGACAACATCCTGATGGAGGAGTCAGCGCAGATCCTGGAGATCGAGACGTTCATTCCCCTGCTGCTGCAGAATCCCCTGGATGGCCTGAATCGCCTTAAGCGCTGGATCATGATTGGCGACCATCACCAGCTCCCGCCTGTGATCAAGAACATGGCCTTCCAGAAGTACTCCAACATGGAGCAGAGCCTCTTCACCCGCCTGGTGCGCCTCGGCGTTCCCACCGTCGATCTGGATGGACAGGGACGTGCGCGGGCCAGCATCTGTTCGCTGTACAAGTGGCGCTACAAGAAGCTAGAGGATCTGCAGCACATCTTTGAGCGGGACGAGTACAAGCAGGCAAATCCAGGGTTCGCCCACGACTATCAGCTGATCAATGTGGAGGATTTCAAGGGCGTCGGCGAGAGCGAACCCAATCCCTATTTTTATCAGGTATGAATCATCCCAACTAAATAAGCATCCCGAAAGGTTATTCCCCTCTGGGCACGTCCTTGGTATAATCTCTTAGTTGTACATCCAATACCATCTTTCGTTGCACAAACGCATTACTAAATCCATATTTTCTTTCATTAGAATCTGGCAGAGGCGGAGTACGTCGTGGCGGTGTATATGTACATGCGTCTGCTTGGCTATCCTGCAGAAAAGGTCTCCATTCTGACCACCTACAACGGCCAGAAGCATCTCATACGCGACGTGATCGGCGCCAGATGTGGCAATAATCCACTCATTGGCTGGCCGCACAAGATCACGACCGTGGACAAGTACCAGGGCCAGCAGAACGACTACATCCTGATTTCGCTGGTCCGCACCAAGGCGGTGGGACATTTGCGCGATGTGCGGCGTTTGGTGGTGGCTATGAGTCGAGCGCGCCTCGGCCTCTATGTCTTTGGTCGAGTGTCGCTGTTTAAGAACTGCTTAGAACTGCAGAACACCTTCAAGCTGGTGAGTAAGCCTGCACGAAACTTAATGAAGGATTATTGTATTATACATTTAATCCCTTACAGCTGACACAGCGATCTTTGAAGTTGGTACTGGTTCCCGGCGATAGCTACCCCACGGAACGATTGTCCACGGATACAGTGCCCGCCAAGTCCCTCAAATCCGTGGAAAACATGTCTGAGATGGCGCAGTACGTGTACGAGCAGTATATGGCCAAAATGGAAGATCTAAAGGACACTCTGCCCTCAGAGGAGGAGTTGCGGGCCATGCGTAATAAATTGCCTCACGAAGATGATGATGATGACGAGGGAGCTGCTGTCCCAGAGGAAGTCGCTGAGGAGCCCCCCCAAAAGCGGGCGGCCAAGGAAGCACCCGCTGGAAAGAAGGCACCAGAGGTCTTCAAGCCCACGCCCATACTCAACGAGATCGCTATGGATGAGCCAGAGCCAGAGCCAGAGAAGAGCCAGGATCAACCACAGCAGGAGGTTCAGGAAGAAGCCTTCGATAAGGCTCGCCAGGAATCATCGGAAAAGGTGCCTGAGGCAGAGTTCTAGGCAGATCTGCTTAGTTGCTTCAATAATATAATTTCAATAATTTCCAACAATGTTTAAGCACAAATGCAAGAACCCACACACACACATTAAGTTAAAAGAATCACTACTTCTTGGGCGCAGTGATGCCCTCCAGCTGTGCCTTCAGCTGGGCATTGGTCTTCTTGAGGAAGGTGATCTCCTCGGTAAACTTCTTCTCCTCGGAAGCACGCAGCTCGGCATTGCGGCGCTCGGCCTGCTCCTGTTTTAGCTTCATGTCGGCGATAATCTCCTCCAGAGCCTCTTTTTCCATCTCCAGGGTTTTGACGCGATCGCGCAGCATCTCCTTCTCCTCATGGGCCTGCAATGCCTTGCGCATGCCAAACGCTACGGAGCTGCAGTAGAGCGTCTCGTAGGCTTCCATGGACATGGCAATCTCATCACGGATACGCAGCAACAGCAGTCCGCGCTCCGAGCAGTTGATGGTCACTTGGCGTATAATCTCGTCTGCAAGGAATACATATTAATTGCCGCAGGGAGATTTTAGGGATTTTAGCTTACCAAAACACTGCGAGTAGAGCTCACGGCGAACTGGGCAGATGCCCGTCTCGCGTGCCTGCGTCTGCTGCAGGCGAGTGTCCAGCATCTCCTGTAGATTGATGACATCCTGGCGAGTGGCCGGGGTGCTGGACACAGACTGCTGCCACAACTGACCATCCTCCTCCCAGCAACGCGGCGGCAAAATCGAGTTCAATATCTCTTCGGTCTCCCGCTTGGTATCTAGTAGAGCACCCGCTGTCTGGGGACGTTTCATCTCCAACTCCGTCAGCGGAGCCCCCTTTTTCTCCGGATGCTTGACCACCAGCACTGGATTGTTATAGCGGACCAGCGTCTGGAACTGGCCCACACTAGTAATCTCTAGCTCATCCATCTTGGCCCGATTCTTTCAAATATAATTTCTATTTGTTGCTGAAAATCTTTAATGTATCTTAAATGTGAGAAAGACTTGTTATGTGTCGTGTTGTATTCAAAAAGTTTGTTGATTGAAAAATCGGAAATGCCTTTGCTAGGGAAATTCTCCCAGGGGTTTCGGTTTGTTATTTCCCCTGTGCCGGCTAGCAACGTGCAGGAGCTGGGAAGCCTTTTCTGTTTACTCGTTTGTCGCAACAAAGAAAAAATGGGATTGGTTGAAAAAGGTTGAAACTGACAAGGGTTGAATAGTTGAAACATCTTAGTAGAAAAAAATTAATATCCTCATTATAATTATCCTTATTGTAACTGATTGCAAAAGATCTGATGGTATTCTGCCGATCAAGGAATCACAAATAACGGATTTGCATATTATTGTTGTTTAACAACAAAAATTATTATTGTTTTTGTAGAACAACAACCCTCGACTTGCGAACTCTCACAAGGCAGAAAACTGGAATTTCAGATCTGGGCTACCAGGCAAACAGAAATCAGCAGAAGGTCAATGGTTTTAAAAACAAAGCGTATTGCATTTTCCCCACGAATTGTTCAACCCCAAAAGTATGCAACAATTTTTGGCATTCGCTAAAGTTGCTTACTGCTGATTTCTGTTCGCCTAGTATCGAATTTCGAAATTCCCTTGTTTTCGCTATTTGACGTCGGATTCAATTTTCATATTTTTTTGACTATTTACGGGCTGATCAAGGCGCGGCATGTCGTGTTGTGATTGGTGCAACATCCTCGATGGCATCTTTGTCAAGGATAAAGGATACTTTCCGCCCTCATACGTACTTACTTTCCTCTACAATTTCTTGTGCGATCAGTGGCCACTATTACTCTGTCATTTCTCATCCGATCAGGATCGGAAAAATATCCATCTCAAGATGGGCTTATAATATAAAAAAAAACAAGTTAAATTATTTAAATTTGTATTTTATTTATATAATAGGTATGTTTATGTAAATGCAAACACAAATGATTTTCTGGCACTGTTCGTGGGGGGACTCGAACAGCGGGGGAAGTAGGTTAAAAATAATTCTTTGCACAATTCTAATTCTCCGAACTTAAATTAATTATGGATGCGATGCTTATGGATATGAGCAAGTTTGGCTAATTACACTATAAACTAAAGAACTAAATGTTAGGCGGCGACACAACTAAACGTAATACGTAACACGGAATTGGAAGAGCAAATAATTTAGTCTTTTTTTGTATAGCTTAGGTTATTACAACTTAGATTTGTAGACACACATTGGACATTGGACTGTACGAGTATGAGTAGACACGTGTTAAAACTAATATCGCGGAAGTCATTCGAGTGAAGTGAGCCGTGGGGATGAAGGGTGTACATATTATAACTCTTAAATTCTCATATATTGTTTCATTACGGCTAGACATTCTCAATATATAATAGTACATATATATTATTGTCATTATTTATGCGGGAGAAATTCCTCTATGGGTTCTTGTAGTTCTAGTTGCTTCTGTTCCTTCTTTTTTTCTTTTTCTTTTTCTTGGTTAGTTTTTTGTTGAGTTCTCTATGTATTCGTTGGCATTTAAGATACAGGCTACGCTCTACATACGATACATGTATATATGCTCTTTATATATAAGTATTCTGTGAATGTGTGTGTGTGTGTGTCTAGAATATATGGTTTATACGCAATGGCGAACTCAGGACATACAACACAGATCAGAATCCACTACACAGATAGCTACAACGTAATTTACACATCTGTTTGGCGCTGGTGGCTCCAGTTGAGGCTTAGATCAATTCTGCCACAGCATCGTCGCCATCCCGTATGGGTGCCTGAAATGTGGAACCCGTGAACTCGTAGAGCTGCAAAAAACAGGCAAAGATTAGCAGAAATACTTTAGAGGGCGAATCCTTTGCTACTCACAGAAGGCGCTCGATTGTTTCGCAGCGTGGCATAGTCCGCAAACTCATGCGGATCCACGCGAGCGAGCAGCAACCCTGCACCACCAACTCCGCCGGCACTGACTGCTCCACCGCTTCGCAGGGAACCACCGCCAGCGCCGCCCGTGAGACGATTCTGGTTGTTGCGCGGCTGGATGGTGGCATAGGTATTGTCCACCGTCTGGCCCACATGGTGGACCTGCTCCAGCGAGCTGCGATGATGATCCAGATGGCCCGGGGCCTCCGAATTGGAGATGTGATCGGGCTCCGAGAAGACCTGCATTGTAAGCTCCTGCTCCTCGTACAGTTTTAGTTTTCTATCGATTTCAAGAAGATTCAGTTAGAAAAAGAGTTCTTTATGGCAGTCATGATACGCACTGCTCTATCCAAAGGGGATTCTCTGTGGTGTTTAGATCCTCGATGATCTGCTTCTTGATCAGCGCCTCCTTGCGGCGCGTCTCCACGGGCACTGACAGGTTCCAGTGCTTCAGGCAGCAGCACAACACAATGAAACTAATGACGCCCACAAAGAGGACAATCACCAGAGCCACAAGTCCTGCAACGGCGAGGTCAAACTCATCCTGGACGATGGCTATGTAAGCGGGCACAACATTCTCTATGGCAAAGCCAGCATAATAATCCTGAACAAAATAATCGAAGATTATATTAGATTTGTTGTAAACCCACAAGGAATCGTTTCCGCCCCATTCCGACCCTCCCTACGATCAGCATCAATAGCCGAGTCGATTGAGCCATTTCTGTCCATTTCAATCAAGTGAATTTACATCTGCAGATTAATTTGATTCATTCACTTACCTTTAGGTAATCATAATTCCTATCGATATCCTTGAGTATCTCATCAACTGGAGCAATCTGCTGGGTTTGGGGATCCACTGCATGGAAGTACAGATCACACCAGTCCATGCGAATGCGTCCCACCGAATCAAGATGGTAGCGTATCTCATCCACAATAATCCTATGTTGTGTGGCATTCCGCAGTTCTGCGATGATCTCCTCCTGCTCCTGGTAGACCTCTTCCGGAGGCCGGGAGAGGATGACGCGCACTAATTGAGTGCCGTCGAAGACCCAGATCTATAGCGGGAGATTCAAAGATAAAACTATATTTCTTTTTAGAGGAATTCTCTCTACTTACAAAAACTTTGGTGCTGACCGAACGCTGTGGCTGTTCCAATTCGCGTGCCAGAATCTCCAGCTCGAAACGATCCTGGTTGTACTCCGCCATGATCGTGTTGGCGGTGATCCTTCCATCCTGCGAAATGGCAAACGGACTAGGGACAATCGAGCCCGTGGACTTGGAGGCCCCGAACTTGAACAAATTCGAGGCTACAATCATGTACTCGATCTTTGCATTCTTCCCCTGATCCGCATCCGTGGCATTCACCTGCGTAATGGCCGCATTCATCTTCGCATTGGCATTGACCCCCGCGTAGTAGATGGGCTTCTCGAACTCGGGCGCATTGTCATTGACATCCAGCACTGTGATGGCCACCTTGGCCACCGTGCTATCCCGATTCAGGGTCTTAATGGAGAACGAGGCACGCTCCTCTTCGGATATATGCAGATCTGCCTTGATGCTGGCCAAAATGTACAGCGTGTATGCATCCGTTTCCTCGCGATCCAGGCTCTTGTTGGTGAAAATGTCGCCCGTGATTTTGTCCACATAGAAGGCCCCATCCTCGTTGCCCAGCAGCATGTAGTAGAAGATGTCGCGATTGTGTTTGCTCCTCGATGCCGCCTGAATATGTCCAATCTTCACATCCCGGCCGCTGTTCTCATTGATGGATACTTTGTAGGGATTTGAGGCATCGGGAAACTCGGGACGATTCTCATTGGCATCCACAATGCTCACAGTAAGGAGGCGCAGTGACTCGAACGGTGGGTTGCCTGCATCCCTGGCCACCAAAATGATGTCGTAGCTGAAAATGAAAAATGCAGAATAAGTCGAAGACTCCCCTGGAATGGATTCCTTCACTTACTTTGCTCTGTTCTTGCGATTTAGCTGCTGCCTGGCACGCAACTCGCCCGTGGCCTCGTTGATCTTAAACTCTGTGTTCTCTTGCTGGTTCTGGTTATTCACCTGCAGATGGTAGCTGATCCTCCCGTTCTCCTCCGAGTCATTATCCATCGCTTTGACCGTCAGCAGCAGATAGTCCGGCTGCACAATATCGCCGGGAATCTCAATCGTGGCGTTGTACAGTGCGGGAAT